ATGGCATATGAAGTCTTTGGAGTTCACCCATCTTGATGAAAATGGAAACCCTAGTTTGAGATACATTGCCTTAGGAGAGAGTTTGTCTAGTCAACTCTTGGGCAACCTTGAGCAAATTGAGGATCTCTAGGAGTATGTTTTGAGTAAAATGAGAGAACAAATTTTGGGGTACAACAATGATCATATCCAGGAGAATGTCACCTAAATACCTACAGCATGAACAAGTTGTTTCCTTCATAGTTCGTTTACCCTCATGGGGCAAATTTGAAGACACTGATGTGCCAAATATAGTCAATATGGGGAAGTCGCGTCAAGATTCACTGAATCTCTCCAAAAGTTTGAAGATACTGGGGAATTTTGGATGCCAGGTATTTTGTAAAATCCTCTTGAGACGATTTCTTCTCGTAAACCATATAACTTGGGGCATTTAAGAGGTGAAGTTATTCGCGAGAGTTTTCGTGCATCATGCAGTTTATCAGCAGTAAACTTGGGGTATCCAAAATTAGTTCCAGGGGGAATCTAGATTTGTCAAGATATATGATCTGCTTTGCACACATTATCAGATGGTGGAGTTCCCAAGTATCTCCAGCTAAGCAAGATTTTTCTCCAGCTGAAGCAGAGTTTGTGTTGTTATCCTTTCAATGGATTATTGATGTTAGAAGATTGGACTTTGGGTTTTCTCCCGAAAAATATCTTTCTCCCCAGAGAGATTAGAGCCTTATAGAAGAAATATTCTCCATCTATGGATTTTATTCTATCTCCAGTAATGTTCTCATCTTGTTGAGGTTAACCGAGTATCTGGTTGTACTGTGATGTCTTATCATATCCAATTTATCTATTTTGTCTGTTTTGTCAGCATATACATGACATTCATTTATTCATTCACACTTGCATCATGCATGCACATTCGTATTTGTCAATGTTATTGGGTATGTATACCTTGGTTATGTCTATTCAAATAGCATATTTGATCTTTCCAAATAGAGTGTCAACTTAAGCAAAAAGTGTGCCTCCTTTCTAATTCCCCACTGAGTTAACTCTCGTGGAAGAATCTTGCTTTAGATTTCCTTTTCCATCTCTGGATAGGATAAATCCCCAATTGAATTCTTTCCTCATTGGGTGGAGTCTTGTTTGACTATTTTCTCTCCAGTTTATTCCTGGATTGAGCTTTGTCTCTTGTGGACGCTACCCTGTGGATCTCTCTAGGCTGTGAAACCTAGATGGGGAGTGCATTTATTTTGCACATTTAAATACTTGGTCTCCTTAGGAATAATCTATTCATGGTTTCCCATTGAAGATGAACTTTGTTTCCCAGTAGTGTTGTTACAACACTCTTTTGTAATCTCAACAGGATGACAAGTGGAGGACTCTTCATGAGCAGCTTGTGTATTATTGATATCTTTGGAAAGTAACAAGCGGTGGACTCTTCATGAGAAACTTGTGTATTGTTGATATCTTTAGAATATATCAAGTGGCGGACTCTTCATGAGCAGCTTGTGTATTATTGATATCTTTAGAAGATAGCAAGTGGCGGACTCTTCATGAGCAGCTTGTGTATTATTGATATCTTTGAAAGATAGCAAGTGGCGGACTCTTCACGAGCAGCTTGTGTATTATTGATATCTTTGGAAAGCAACAAGTGATGGACTCTTCATGAGCAGCTTGTGTATTATTGATATCTTTGGAAATTAGCAAGTGGCAGACTCTTCATGAGCAACTTGTGTATTATTGATATCTTTGGAATATAGCAAGTGGCGGAATCTTCATGAGAAGCTTGTGTATTATTGATATCTTTGGAAGATAGCAAGTGGCGGACTCTTCATGAGAAGCTTGTGTATTATTGATATCTTTGGAATATAGCAAGTGGCGGACTTTTCATGAGCAGCTTCTGTATTATTGATATCTTTAGAAGATAGCAAGTGGCAGACTTTTCATGAGCAACTTGTGTATTGTTGATATCTTTGGAAGATAGCAAGTGGCAGACTCTTCATGAGCAGCTTGTGTATTATTGATATCTTTGGAAAGTAGCAAGTGGCAGACTCTTCATGAGCAGCTTGTGTATTATTGATATCTTTAGAATATAGAAAGTGGCGGACTCTTCATGAGCAGCTTGAGTATTATTGATATCTTTGGAAGATAGCGAGTGGCGGCCTCTTCATGAGCAACTTATGCATTATTGATATCTTTGGAAGACAACGAGAGGCAGCCTCTTTATTTGAGCAGCTTGTGTATTCCCAACAATATGTTATTTCAACAGCAAATGGCATCTCTTTTGAGAAGTTTGCTCATCAACAGCAAATGGCATCTCTTTTGAGAAGTTTGCTCATCGACAACAAATGGCATCTCTTCGAAGAAGTCCCGCAAAGAAGTTTGTATATTACCTTTTCCGAGTGATATATGGGATAAAGAAGAAACCATTCTCCATTCTAGGTGAAATCCAGAATTCAGAGAAGTTTATTATCCTTTCCGAGTGATATCTTTATCAAAGAAGAAGTTGAGACTCGTTCTAGGTGGAGTGCCAGAGTTTTGGGAAAATTATTATTGTTCTATGAGCTGGTAGTTCACTCGTTTATTAGTCAGTATCTTCTTCTTTCTCCTCATTAGACTTTTCCCTAATAGAGTTGAGTTTTCGCCAGTCTCAGTACTGATGATGATGTTACCAGTCTCAGTACTGATGCAAATCATTTCTTTCTCCAGTTGCAGTACTGATGTAAATCATTTCATTCCCAATCGTAGTGCTAATGTCAATTATTCGCTTACCAATCTCAAGGATGACATTCATTGTCGTTTCTAAGTCTGTATTATGCTGTTTGTTCTACCATCAACCCTGGGTTGGTATTTCACCTTCAGTAAAAGTTGGTGCATCTTTGTTTCACCTTCAGTAAAAAATTGGCAGTTCACTATCAGTCAAAGTTGGTGTAACTTTTTATCTACCTTTGACCCTGAGTTGTAAACTCACCATCATCTTGAGTCAGTAGCCATCTATCTTTTCGTAGCCTATACAAGGCGTTTTCTTTGTTAGAGTCAGAAAATTGTTTTCTCTCGAAGTTATTCCCCAATAAGAGTCTCATTCGAAGTCTGTGGCTCTGTTTCTCCAATAGAGTTATAATCTCTTCCCCTGTGGATTATTTTATCACGTGCTTGGTTCCTCCAGCATTAGTTTGTCTCATGCGGCATCATTCCCCATAAGATTCAAATATTACATTTATATCATATCATAAACACAATGGCGGTATCTTAGGGCCAAAAATTGCGTATTCTATATTTAGTTCCCTTCAATCTCGTCGAGACGAAGATTTCAATCTTCATATCTCTGGATAGAAGAAACTTAAATAGGGGAAACTGTCATACCCCAATTTTTGACCTAAGATCCCATCTTCATTTGCATTTTCTTTACATACATCAAGGTCACGAAATATGGTCGGTTCTGAACTTCTCACCTTCGAGCATTGCCTGTGCAGAGGTTATTAAGTATTGTGAACATTTTATCTTATGCATGACTAACTTCTAACCAAGTACGAAGTGTATGTTTTTTTCTTTTTGATTTCATGTGAAGAAACAGGTTTGAATCAAGAGCATCAGGCATCACGCCTCGATTAGGGTTTTGAGTCTCCCAAGCCAGAATTATGATTGATTATGGATTCTCGAAGACTGGTTCATCAAGGCACAACCTCTAATCTCATAGCATAGAGTCTCAAGCATCGTTCAATCTCATTTTGATCAAAGATGTCTTATGGAACTTCAGAGGATCGTGTGTTTATTTTCACGCCTTGTTCGACAAGTGGTCTCAAGCTTCTCTAAAACTTCCTCAAAGCACAGATAAGATTTCATCATCACTGGTTCACATGTGCATTAATATGCCTTGGAGCACAAGAAAAGATCAGGCTATGTGAGACGATTCAAAGCACTTCGACCAAAAGTCAACTCTTGCAAGTTCAAGTTCAAACGACCATAATTTCTTCATTATTTCATATTTTTGAGTGATTCTTTTTGCGTATGACTCTCCTTAACGTCATCTCCCACTTTTCTTTACAAGTCAAGAGTTGATTGTGTGCGGAGGATCATCGAAAATTTGAATACTTTAGAGGTCATTTTGCAAATTTGACCTAATCACAAGAAACTCTTTTTCAACTTTCGAGGGTCATAACTTCTTCAATTCTCAACGTCCTGAGGCGATTATTTTTGCGAAGTATCACGAATAGCATTGTCTATGAGATTACTTCAAAGATCAAGGTCAAATTGTGCTTGGTTTAATTTATGCCACAGACGTTTTCTCAAAGGACGTTTGATTCTTATGTTGGGATAATTCATGAAACTAGAGTTTTAATTCAATGATTCTTTGATTACTTGTTGCCTACTTCAAGTAATTTGCAATTGAACATTAGCGATCGTTGGATTAAGGTGGATTGTTGAATAAATTTCTTAAAAGCACGATTTGTATTATTGGCTTGTATTGCAAGTTACCACGAATTGACGATATGTGTTTTAAAGAAGAAGATTTGAGGATCAACTCGAACAATTCTTTTTGATTTCAAATCAATTCAAGTGTGCAAGGCGCAATTCATTCATATGAGTTTACTTTTGGATTCAAGATATACAAAAGAACTAATTTCTCATGATGCAAGTTTGCTCAATTTTGAAGATCAATTCATGTAATTTGTTTGGAATTCTAGAAACAAATACAAGATGTTCATTCATCTTTCAAAATTCATTCAAGAAGTCTCAAATTCATTCAAGATGAAATAGTTACAATTCACCTAGCCATTACAAGTTGAAATGATGCAAATAAAAGATACAATTACAAAAGTTCTCAAGGTTGATTTTTTTGAATCCAAGCATACACCTTTTCAAGAATTGTTTAATTTAAACATTACAAGGTGCATCATAAGTTTGTACATGAATTCCTAAGTCTAAAAAATCCTTCACTAGTTTTCATACCAAGCCAAACCAACCAGTCCATGACAATGCTATCTTGCTGCCCATTTTAACCATGCTGCTCCACAAGCAAAAAACCAGTCCCAGTCCCTATCCCTAAACCTGCTATACTTTTTTTGCTGTCCAAAACCTATCATAAAACAACAAAAAAACAAACATCCATATTTTTGTACATAAACTGTCAAAAAACAGTCCGGATGCTGTCCAAAACACCCTGCATAATCTGCCCCTGCAAAAACAGTCCAAAAACAGTCCATAAGACTACAAAAAACCTGCTGCAATATGAGAAACAGTGCATATCCCTTGTTGTCCAAACCTGCACCATGTCAGTTTAATATTTGCACAAGTTTAGCAAAACAAAATTTGCATAAAAAAACAATGAAACAGGGTACTACTTATGTTCAAATTTCCCTCCCAATTTCACTCCACTTGCCTATATAAGAGAGTTTCTGATTCATATCAAAGAGGGAGATTACTGATATTAGGGAGAAAAATAAGACAGTAAAGTAAAATATGTTTAATCCACATGGGACGAAAGTAGAGAAAACAACACAAAAAATATCAAACAAAACATACCTCCAATTGTTGTTCAATACACCAAACATCTCAATCAAAAATCAGAGAAGCCTTTGAAACCTCTGCTAAAATTCCTTCAATCGGCAACTTCCTGCAACACTCCATACACCCCACTTTACATCACCTCAACTTCCCTCTCCAATACCCTGCAGAAACCGAAAAATCCCAAAGAACAACAAAAATCACTCTGCTCATTTAACCACTAACATGTAAACCAACACCATACTCATCCTTCATCCACTTAAAATTCTCATCACCATCAAAAACCCTTTGTTCCACCAAAACCGCCTTTAATTAACAGCCAAACAATACTTGTAAATTAACATAACTCCATCACTATCATGCATCATCCAAATTGAACTTCACAAAGCTTCACACAATACCTACAGAAATTTACAGAACAACATCACAACATATAAAAACGCCCAAATAAAAAAGAAGATGAGGAAAGAAGAACGAAAATACTGCCAAGATTATTTTCAAGTCTTCCCCCAACTTCATCATAGAGCATGTAGATCCCAAAAGCAATAGCAATATTATTTTCAAAAGTGTTAGAAGAAAGGAGAAGAAGTTAAGGAAGCAAATTTTAGCTGCGGTTTTCTTTATTCTTTCTCGCTGGCATCGGAGCTCTGACCATGTAAGTCTACTCTGCCTTCCTTCAATTACTTTGAAGATTTGTATTGATGTTTGTATGAATAGAATAGAATCATTATATTTATTGTGTTGTTTGCCATTAAATCGCAATCATGAGATTAGGCATGTTGTCGTCGTTAACCGTAAAAAGATGCTGAAACCGGAAAATAGTGTAAAATCCGAGCAGAATCAATTAGACACTTGTTATAGTTATTCCATGAGAGTGTAAAAATGATAGAAGAGCAAGATTTACCATTGTTCTTGTTTGGTCCGCATGAATAGAAGAAGATGTCGCGTGGGCATGAGAGAGAGGGTGATACCGTTGTACCAAAAGTGGAATTGAGTTTTTCTGCTATAGTTATGTTTCAATCGCTAGAGATGATAGGAAAGTGAAGGTGATTGGCATGCTCCCATCTTTTGTCGTTATTTTGAAATAGAACAAAATCTCATAGTGAGATTAGAAGAGAAAAAGAGGCGCTAGGGTTCTCTTAGTTAGAAGGGGCTCAGATCTGGGTCCGACCCGACCCAATCCACTTTAGGCCCAGAGTTTTTTTTTTTTTTATATTCTGTCTTTTTATTTCCTTTTGGGCTTGCTGAATAATCTATCCTAAATCCCAGCGAATTCTATATGCCCCCATTTTCTGTTTCAAACTTTTTTTTTATAATTAATTTATTTTAGGTTTAAGTTAGTAATTTTATTATTAATATAATTTAGATTCAAAATTAATAATATTATAATTAACTTAGTTTATATTAATCTAATTTAGATCTAATTTAGTAACTTTAGAATGTTAATTTATTTTAGATTTAATTTAATAACTTTAGAATTTTAACTTAGTAATTTTAGAATTTTAATTTAGTTTTAGTTAGTAACTTTAAATTTTTACTTAGTTTAATTAAAAATTTTAGAATTTTAATTTAACTTACTTAGTAACCTTAGAATTTCAAATTAGTTTAGACAACTCTTTAATTTACATGTTACCACACAAAAATGTCCAATTTCTCTTGACTCTTGAGATGTAAAAACATGATTTATCACCCGACATCGCCAGCCTCATAAATTTGTCAATGAAAGTAGCAATCAAGTAAAGATACGAAATCAATGGACTACTTACAACTCAGCACTGAATTCATTTTTATAAGAATAAAATCAGTTGGTTTGAACAAACATATCAATTGTGTCGTTGAGAATAAAACGTTCCAAGACAGTGAGCAAAAACTTGATCGCGACTTTGTATGTCTATAAATCTGGAGACTGCAAGTGCACAGTCCTATCGCGTAGTCTTAAAAGATATCGAATCCACAGGGACTATGAATCGATCTACCGTAATTTTGGTTACTGGGTAAAGTTAAGGCTAATATTAATTTAATTAACGAAAGGGATCTAATTACTAAATTTAGTTATAAAATTTTTAATTATAAATACCGGTATGTATTTCACCTAAATTTTGGGTTCCGGATTTCCACTGGCTTTTACTTAAATTGGTCAAAAATTATCTTTACGCAAACTTTATTTGTCTAAAAACCTTCCCCTCACACTTCTGTTCTATTAGTTCAGGTTATACGATTAATACCCTAACGTGTGCTTCCGTCACTCCGCCGGATTCAAAAGTAATTTTTGAAAACAGAATAAAATTTAATTGTTTTTAAAATGCTTCCGCCTCTTTAAAAACAATGCCTAATAATCACTATCTGGTTTTAGCCTCAAACTTCCGTTTTATTAGTAAAAACCTTAATCAATTCTAAAACCTCACACTTCCGTTCTATTGGTTTGTAAAATCTTAAACAATTTAATTGAATATTAAAACCATGAAAGAAGTTTCTTTTACAAAATAATTTTAAGCCAGTTTATTTCGGATCCCGTTATTTGGTTAATTTACATACCGATATTTAATCGGTTTAGCCAGACATGTTCATACAATTAATCATGCAAGGTTTATTAATTAGGAAACGGCGAAATAAAAACATACTCAGAACAGAGATCATACAAATATATTAAATAAAGCGTATAAATGAAAACCTGATGAAAATGTAGAAATACTTCAATAGCTTCAAGTAAATATTCGTTCTTCAAATCCTTCGAGTATTCCACCACAAGTCGGCTGGATCTACCCTTCGAGTCTTGAATTTCGTAACAACAAGAAAAGAAAAAATACCGGATCTAACGTAAGGTTAAACCGGATAAAATTGCACAACAATTCCTGGTGTAGAAATTGTTGTACGAAAAATAAAGGCAGAAAACTGGAGAAGAAAAGAAAATAAAAACAATGCGATGAAATAAAAATAAAGGAAAAGGCAGAACAAAAATTAAAATGGAAGGAAATTTGCTCTGCTGAAAATAGTACGATCTTGCAAAAATTCTCCGACCTTTGGGATTTGGCTTTCACTTCTATTTATAATGCTTGTAAAATAACTGTATCCCAAAAGGTCAATCCACGTAAAACTGAATATCCAAAAAATATTGCTAGTGGACTTTGTTGCATAACGTGCTGAAGACGTGTACGGAAATATAGTAAAAGTTGGTTTCTTCATTGACTTGGGACTGGTCGTTCCGTGTGAGGAGAAAATGGCGTGAAAATAGGAAAGGGGAGGGAACGGTCGTTCCACTCAGCTGAAGTGGGCCGGACCGGTCGTTCCCCTTAGTGGGCCGGTCGGTCCCTTCAAGCTGAAGTGGGGAACGTGTGTTCCCTTGGGCCTCTGCGCGTTCTTGGTCTTTTGGGCCTTGGAAAAAATCATTCTTTTCACCCCATTTAGTATTCTGCACCACATTAATCAATTATCTTCATTTTTGTACTAAATTGCATCTATTTCTTCATTTTTCTTCACATAAGCTTATTTAAGGCAAAATACCTGAAACAAAGAAATACCAACGTAATATGGAAATAAAATAAAATAAATTAAATAAAAACATGAATTATTTGCATTAATTAAGTCGATTTATACGATATAAAATCATGTTATCAAACTCCCCTACACTTGAACCTTTGCTTGTCCTCAAGCAAGAAATATATATCTCTCTAAATGCGGGTCAGACGCAACAAAAATTGCCACAAGTAAAAAATGTATTAAGTTGCACATTGCTCTTGAGCTCTCGACTTCGATACTAAAGTCACCGTAACAATACTAAATAAACTCAGGTTCGAAGAACAATTCTAGTGACGCCATTATAACTTAACTCTAAATCCTACATTTTGTTTCACCTTTTTCATTCAGGCGCAATCACATTAAGCCCTTTGCCCTTTCGCGCACATATTTTGTTTCACCTTTTTCATTCAGGCGCAATCACATTAAGCCCTTTGCCCTTTCGCGCACATAGTGGAGTGACCGGTTAGTGAATTTGATCTTTTAAGCCTGCTAGGAGTTCTGGTACTTAATAGTTGGTAACTCCTTTTTGTTCTTTTGTAAATTGCGGGGAATCGAACCGTAGTTCGCCCTACCAAGTTCAACACCAGAAATCGTTGAACCAATTTACAAAGAATTCATTAATTGATAATTTATAAGGTTCGCGACCGTTGGGCTAAATAGTCTGGTAAGGACTATCTAACTTAGTTAGAGCGTTTCTACAAATTTAAATTTTATTTATTTTTTTATTTTCGATCAATCACTTATATTCATCGATCCTCCACGTAGTTTGCTATTTATACGGTGCTGACTGCGTGTATAAACTTCTAAAGGTTACTTTAAAACCTAGAATTTAGATTTTCGGTATATAAAGGGTACTAAAATTTTAATTCATTTTCCTGAGATTTTAAAGCGTTGAAGTGGCGACGATATTATTTCAATCGTGTTCAATTTATAAATATTTTCTTCTAAAGAAGCAACTTTGATACACTTTTTGAGTGTGTATAATTGTGCGTCTGACCATAAAAAAAAAAATTTTATGGCTCAAGAATTTGGCGAATTCGGATAATCATGAATTTATATATGTATATAAGACTTAATTTAATAACAAATTTTTATTAATTAAAATTTTAAAGTACAAAAGGGAAATTACAAAAGGGAAATTTGCTTACTTGAAGAAAGATAACAATAGTTAATTCGACCCCCTACACTTAAACTGAGCATTGTCCTCAATGCTTAAAAATGGGGAATCGAAAAATACAAAAATAAAAAGAAAAGAAATATTAAGAACTAATCGTTACGATGTGGACGACGTCCTCTTCCTCGAGTTCTTGGACGTCGCTCATCTTGGCGTTGTGGAGGCACGAATTCGTCCAAGCGTAGGCGAAGTGAGTGCATAGAAACTCCAAGGTCAATAACATTTGCATTCAAGGTGTTGTAGTTGTTATGCATTTGTTGTACCAATGCAAATGTTGCGTTTTGTTGGTTTTGCATCTGTTGCATGGTTTGGTAGAGAGTTTCCATGGTGAGATGGTTTTGTTGATTGTTGTTCATTTCTTCTTCCATTTCATCCACGGGAGCATTATTCTCAGCTTCGGGTGCATTTAAATCGAATAACCAACGGCTTCGATTTTGCACATTAATAAGATGGGGACATGGGAGAATAATGCTTGGTACCAAAACTTTATTGACCAATAAAGTAAATCTGTTCTCACCTTGCCTTGG